CCAGCGCGTGTTACACTCCATGTGAGCGTCAAAGAACACCAACACGTCACCGGTGGCATTGCGGGCCCCATTCATCCTCGACCTGACCAGTCCGGCCCTCTGGCGGTTCCGGATCACCCTGGCTTTTGGCACCAGGGACAAATACATGTCTAACTCGTCCTTTAGGTACGTCATAGTGCTGAAGTCGTCTACGAGGATCACTTCCTTCAGGTTTTCTTCTGGGGACCTGTCTATGACGCTGTGGACGGTCCGGAGCAAAGTGGACAGCGCCTCGTTGTGGAAGATGGTCACTACGGATACAGTGAGTGATGTATCATAGAGAAAATTTGTTTTGTGACATTCCGGATTTCTATTATCAGGAACAGGACGTCGTACAGACAACCCGTCACCGGCCGACACGTTGTACTTGAATTTGCTAGTGTCGACCATTCCTCTGTGACGAGCGAGGATGGATTGGAGAGTGTGCTCCAGTTTCTTCGTGTATTTCTCATCCTCAATTGCACCTAATCTAAATCAAATAAAACGTTACTTATATTATGTAAGCGACATAGATAACAGAAATATTGAAATTAATTTAAACGGACTTTGCCTCAAATATATTGTTACATGTTTCAATTAACCCCAGAAAAAATGGCAATGGATTAAAATAAATGAACATATCAAACACACGTAACATATGTTAAGAGGTACTTGTCAAATGGACCATAAAACAACACGATGGCCTAACTATCGAGCATTCTGGCAGTGGTTCCAATTATTTTAATCACACTATCAAAATTTCGATTTTGATCAGTCTTGCTTTTTTTTCAACACAAAGGAGAAGATACACCATATAATACTGATTCTGATTTAATGTTAGCGTAGAATGGGTTTGACCAGAATTATTGAAAGTATATGGATTCTAAAGATAAGCTCTGTACGGATTCCTGTCCCACTGTCCTCTGCTGTTTCGTGTATACAGTAACCTCCCCGAAATGTCGTTTTTGATTAAACTGTAGCCCAGTGAGGCACTGACCAAACTAGCCCAGTGAGGCACTGACCAAACTGTAGCCCAGTGAGGTACTGACCAAACTGTAGCCCAGTGAGGCACTGACCAAACTGTAGCCCAGTGAGGTACTGACCAAACTGTAGCCCAGTGAGGCACTGACCAAACTGTAGCCCAGTGAGGCACTGACCAAACTAGCCCTGTGAGGCACTGACCAAACTGTAGCCCAGTGAGGCACTGACCAAACTGTAGCCCAGTGAGGCACTGACCATTCCGTTGACTCGGTAGTTCAATCGGTTAGAGCAACAACATAACAATCTCAGGTCATCAGTTGGAATCCTAGTCTAGCCCTGCTGATTTTTTTTTTTAAACTCAGAACACTGTTGTTTACATTTTATTCCATTAAACTTTAATATTTTTCATAACGTCCGACAAGATGTGATTTTCTTATCAGAAATTATTTATCACAGCTGTAATAATGCCAGAAAAAATCAGTTTTCGTGTCATATTGCAAACTATTCCATGCAATAACTAATTGTCAAAAGTTGCACTCGACGCACACGTATTTGATTTACACATTGTATCAAAATTTGTGCCCATGGGCGTTCTTACTTTTGACGGGTACGGTATAAGAGAACATGCCATGGAGAGGTCAATAATCAGTGCGTTTTATAGTAAAACAACCTTATCAGTGGAGAGAAATGAATGTTAGTCTAAAGAGAAGTAGATAAATAGTAAAAAAAAACGCTAAATGAGTCGATTTTAAAGAACAGGGTCCTCAATCAGCATAAACATTACCATATCATCATACAGTGTAGTTGGTTTACACACGTACCTTGCTGCCACCATGCGTTGCTGAGATATGATGTCGCGCTGGTCCTCCTCTAGCTGTCGAGGGGAATGTGGCAGAGATATCAGGATAATCCACGATTGTCCAACAATAAATAGAAGCATAACGGGTAGGAGCCCGCACCTCCTCGCACGGCCTGACCTTGCCATCGTGTCACGTCCGTACGCACGTGGGATCAGGTACACGTGGCGAGGTGACATTGTATAGGGTGTCTGGTGTCGTCATCAACATATGTACCTTATTATTTATCCATAGCACAAGTCTGCAAAGAAATTATATTTTTCATTTTTTTTACCTTAATTGACGAATCAAATGAATGTTTGAACGTATCATACAACCACACTATAATAATTTCTCTCATCTGGATAAAACATGCATGTATAAATAAATATATGCAGATAACTTCGTCCCTGGATAGATTGAACACAGGGACGAGAATTTGTTACAGCTATATTTGGACGTAAACTAAGTTGTTCATGGTAATTTTACGCGTTATAGAGGTTTACGTCGACTTTTGGTAAAATGTCTCTCCCAATGATGATAACTTTTACCGAAAGTCGATCTAAACCCCTAAAACATGTAAAATTACTCTGAACACCTTAGTTTAGGTCCAAATATAGCTTTAACAAATTATCAGGTCCTTGTGATTGAAACGAGAGGACCATAAGGCCCGTATAGCTAATCGCTCAACGTAATCGCTTCAGATGTTCTAAACAAATGCAGACTCAGTGTAATAGCATAAGCTTATTGGCCTTTCAGGAGGACAAACAAGAGGTCGAAGGGGCATGTATCGCCCTTGAAGAAAACCCTTATTTCCGCAATCGGGCCCGCCACTCCGCCCCAGGTTGAGAGGACACTCCCTTTCACAATAGACTTATTGACAATATAAACCGATTTCATGAAAGGTGACTTAATATCAATTCATTTAATAATGGAAGGAACAAAGCTTTGGAGTTATACTCTGAATGATCCTCGTACTAATGGTAACAACCAACTGCCTTTTTCAGGATTGACTATGTAGCTTTGATGAATCATTTCCGAAAATAATACCATACCTTGCGGGACTTTCATGAAATCGATATATAAATATGAAATAGATAAATTGTAATCAACAACAGTACGTGTGGTGAGGATGAAAATTCAGCGGGGCTAGAGCGGGATTGGAACCCCGGACCTTAGTATGTTCTACTATCGCCCTTACCGACTGAGCTTTCGAACCCTGGACCTTAGTATGTTCTACTCCCGCCCTTACCGACTGAGCTTTCGAACCCTGGACCTTAGTATGTTTTACTCCCGCCCTTACCGACTGAGCTTTCGAACTCTGGACCTTAGTATGTTCTACTATCGCCCTTACCGACTGAGCTTTGGAACTCTAGACCTTAGTATGTTCTACTATCGCCCTTACCGACTGCGCTTTGGAACTCTGGACCTTAGTATGTTCTACTGTCGCCCTTACCGACTGAGCTTCCAGGTCAACGAGAATGTCATCGCCCAGCTTTACTACAGCTTTATCCTAAACGAAATTAAAGGGAGCCTACTTTATATAAACAAGAGGCCCAATGGGGACCAATATACAGCTACAGTCAAAATATCTGTGTTCGATCCATTTGAATCTATTGAATGTTTTAAACATATGACACCTGTGACTTTGAAAGTTTATAGCCTTCCGTCCCGGCATACTTCTGGCTAAATATCATTACCCTGGACCTTTTGAATAAACATATTTGATCCCTGTGACATTGAATATGAGCAAAGGTCATTCATTTGAACAAACTTGGTAGCCCTTCATCCCAGCATGTTACTGGCCAAATATCATCATCCAAGGCCTTTTGGTTATTGAGAAGAAGTTTTTTTAAAGGTTTTAAACATATTTGACCCCTGTGACCTTGAACAAGGTGAAGGTTATTAATTTGAATAAACTTGGTAGCCTTTCTTCCCAGCATGTTACTGGCCAAATATCATTAGCCTATGCCTCTTGGATATTAAGGAGAAGTTGTTTAAAGGTTTTAAACATATTTGACCCCTGTGACCTTGCAAATAGGTGAAGGTCGTTTGTTTGAACAAACTTGGTAGCCCTTTATCTGAGCATGATACTGGTCAAATATCATTGTTCTAGGACTCTTGGGTATTCAGGAGAAGTTGTGTAAAGGTTTTAAACATATTTGACCCCTGTGACTTTGAAAATAGATGAAGGTCATTTGTTTGAACAAACTTGGTAGCCCTATATCCCAGCATGTTACTGGTCAAATATCATTATCCTAGGCTTCTTCGTTATTCAGAAGAAGTTGTTTAAAGATTTTAAACATATTTGATCCCTGTGACCTTGAATATAAGTCAAGGTCATTCATTTGAACAAACTCTGTAGCCCTCTATTACAGCATGCTACTGGTCAAATATCATTATCCTAGGCTTCTTGGTTATTGAGAAGAAGTTGTTTAAATGTTTTAAACATATTTGACCCCTATGACCTTGAATATAAATAAAGGTCATTCATTTTAACAAAATTTAGTAGCCCTTTATGCTAGCATGTTACTGGCTCAATATAATTATCCTAGGCCTCTTAATTTATTCAGAAGAAGCTGTTTAAAGTTTTTAACATATTTGACCCCGGTGACCTTGAAAATAGCTGAAGGTGATTTATTTGAACAATCTTGGTAACCCTTCATCCCAGTTTGCTTCTGGCCAAATATCACCACCCTAGACCTTTCGGTTATTAAGAAGAAGTAGTTTAAAGTTAAATATTGACGACGGACGACGGACGCCGGACGCCGGACGCCGGACGCCGCACCACGGCATAAGTGCCAGGTGAGCTAAAAAAGCAGTACAGCGAGACATGGATACTTAAACATAGATTCCAAAAATAATCTTCAGGTTATATTTTCTGTTATAACAGCAGTATCCGGTGCGGATCTGTTCAAAGATTTACGGAAAAAAAATATAAAAAAATAACGAGTTCGGCTTTCCGTATTACTGTGTCATTTGTGTCGATTACAAGTCTTGTCTTCAACGTGTCAAATTATAGCCTCCTTTTCCTCTGAACCCCCTCTGCCATACACGTTCTTATGATATTTTTTTTTATGATCAACAGTCGGTAAGAGAACACTCGGATATGATGCTAAAGTAAGAGTAGCGTTAATATCAAGCGGACAGTGCTCATAAGAATACATTTACCGTCGTATGACATTGCCACTTTATAACCCTACCACACATTTAGATATCATTCATACAGGCTATGAATGCTTTGAAAAGATTTTTGACGTCATCATCATTATGACGCCATTTTGATACTTGTTACGTTGGATACTACCGACTCGCCTTAGACAGACTGCTGTTCCATTCATCAAACAAGCATATATACGATCATTTTTTTAATTGAGCTAAATGCTGAATAATAGTATTTGTAATTAGTGTTTTTTTAGGGAGAAGCGGAGGGGGAGGGGGTGGTGTTAAACAGATTTCAACGATTCAAAACCTGGTAAACATAACAACTCATTTGCTTTCAGTTGGCATTCATAGGCTCCCAATGCTCAAACATAACACACCCAAAATTCAATAAAAGTTCCAAGGTATTTTGACTTTATTTGAGATTTGAATAAAACAAATTCATTCAATTAAACTTCGGGACTTCGGAAAGCCGGTACATGAAATACCAGCTTTGATAGGCGGAACTGTAATTACACGGCAAAGCTTGCGCCATTTGCTCATTAAAATGGACCTCCGATATCGCACCTGTCACGTGGCTCACACACAACGTCTGCGCACTGTCATTGAATTCAAACATGAGAGCTCCTGTATTAGAGATCGGAGAGGTCGTCTGAAATTTCCACTTTCCCGGGATCACATTTTTAGTTTCATCACACTTTCTCCTTTTCAGGAAATGTGTGGAATCCGAAATAAATACACAATAATCATCAAACTTAAATTCGCCTTTCTCTGAAAACGTAAAGGAATTTTCAGGTATTATTCTATATTTAAAACATGCATATGTTATCCCAATGTAATGATCATCTAGGACAGCAAGACAGGCTAAAGTTTTCCCGTTGGTTATCTCCCCATAGAAGGCGGCGTCGATAGGGGGAACCTTCTGTTCCGGAAGTACGTTTTTAAGGTACCAGTGGAATGGTTTACAGTGCAATGACTTAAGAAAGTTTTTCTGTGACATAATAGCATTGTTGTCTATTTGGGGGAAATTCTGCGTTCGTCCAGCAGTAACTCTATAGAAGGTATCTTTATATTCATCCAGCCATATTTCCGCTACCCTCATCAGATTTTTCAGTATGACTGTATCTCGATCGGCGCCACCAAAACTGTAACTCTGGACGCCCATTTTAAACAGATGTCCCACTTTGGAACATGGAACTGTCAACACTCTCCCAGCACACAACCAGTTTTTGAATGACAAATCAAAGTGTTCCCCTCCCCAAATGTCAAGTCCCTCGTCGAAGCCCCCGATCCGAAAGAAGTGGTCCCTTCGTACGGCGATGGCGTTACCCACCAGCACGGGGGTAACAAATGGTTCCGTTTTAGACTTCAATGCTTGTTCAACGAAGCCCGGTACTTCGAACCACGCATACCTGAAATGACAAATGAATGAAAATGAAATCTGAAGTGAAGAAATATTACTGTCTTAACATGTGTACACCATTTAGATTTATCCACGATTATATCTACTTATATTAGGGACTGACCTGGCCCCATATTCATTAAACCGAACTCATACTCAAGCATGGATTTTGTGCTCAAGACAACTGTTTTGTAACTTACTAAAAGCATGTAACACAGAACAAAGTCCAGTAAAAACATTGAAAACAGTATTTGGTTTTTCGTCTATCCAATATACTTCCAAAATCATCAACGAAATTGATCCCGGAGAGAAGAATTCCAACTTGAGCACGAAATCTGCTAGAGTATCACAAAAGCCCGACCGAGTTTGATATTATACACGCATGGACTTTGTTGAAGGAAAACACGATTGTTTGTTCCTCAACATTAACATATTTCTCTGCGAAAAAGGCTATACATGTTTTATCATACCGAAATAAAACAATAACGTAACTAGAGCAGTAAATACGAGCATGCAGGTTGACACGCCATTGTTGTCGTTTGCTTCATCCACTCGGAATTAGATGTCACGGCTGTTGCCCATTTTCTTGGAGAGGCTCCGCAAATGGGAAATATGACCATTAAAACTCGAGCGCGTGAAGTTGATACGATGTTTTATTTCCCCGTCATGTAATCAGTATAATTCAATCATAAACGCTGTTATATAGATGAGGTATACTGATGTGTTTTCACTTAGTGTGGCCGAATAAGTTTGAGATTTCATCTGAGGCCTACCAAGTTTGGGAACATTTTATTTTATTTTATGACGCCGCTTGGGTTATTTTTAAGTACTGACCGGAAGCCGACATAATGNACCAAGTTTGGGAACATGTAATTTTATGACGCCGCTTGGGTTATTTTTAAGTACTGACCGGAAACCGACATAATTTGATGTACAGATACTCAAAAGAGGCCTAGCAAGTTTAATATTATATACATACTTGAACCCGAAACATTTTAAGAACTGATTTTCATATGACTCTGACAAAGTTTCTTTATTTTGTATCACCTCTGACGCCCGACCCGGATTTATAATTTATCTTAAATAACAACCTAAGATACGCACCTGAGGTCCCAACCGAATCCTCCACGAGAGCGACGATCACCATCTGGGTAACTGTAATAGTCCATTGTGTCAGCTTTAATGATGTCCACATCCGGCTGTAGAATTGCAGTGGGTTCGTCTTGAAGCGCGTGCAGGAGTGGCTCCAACCAGCGCGTGTTACACTCCATGTGGGCGTCAAAGAACACCAACACGTCACCGGTGGCATTGCGGGCCCCATTCATCCTCGACCTGACCAGTCCGGCCCTATGGCGGTTCCGGATCACCCTGGCTTTTGGCACCAGGGACAAATACATGTCTAACTCGTCCTTTAGATACGTCATAGTGCTGGAGTCGTCTACGAGGATCACTTCCTTCAGGTTTTCTTCTGGGGACCTGTCTATGACGCTGTGGACGGTCCGGAGCAAAGTGGACAGCGCCTCGTTGTGGAAGATGGTCACTACGGATACAGTGAGTGATGTATCATAGAGAAAATTTGTTTTGTGACATTCCGGATTTCTATTATCAGGAACAGGACGTCGTACAGACAACCCGTCACCGGCCGACACGTTGTACTTGAATTTGCTAGTGTCGACCATTCCTCTGTGACGAGCGAGGATGGATTGGAGAGTGTGCTCCAGTTTCTTCGTGTATTTCTCATCCTCAATTGCACCTAATCTAAATCAAATAAAACGTTACTTATATTATGTAAGCGACATAGATAACAGAAATATTGAAATTAATTTAAACGGACTTTGCCTCAAATATATTGTTACATGTTTCAATTAACCCCAGAAAAAATGACAATGGATAAAAATAAATGAACATATCAAACACACGTAACATATGTTAAGAGTTACTTGTCAAATGGACCATAAAACAACATGATGGCCTAACTATCGAGCATTCTGGCAGTGGTTCCAATTATTTTAATCACACTATCAAAATTTCGATTTTGATCAATCTTGCTTTTTTTTCAACACCAAGGAGAAGATACACTATATAATACTGATTCTGATTTAATGTTAGCGTAGAATGGGTTTGACCAGAATTATTGAAAGTATATGGATTCTAAAGATAAGCTCTGTACGGATTCCTGTCCTCTGCTGTTTCGTGTATACAGTAACCTCCCCGAAATGTCGTTTCTGATTAACCTGTAGCCGGCAGTGAGGCACTGACCAAACTGTAGCCCAGTGAGGTACTGACCAAACTGTAGCCCAGTGAGGCACTGACCAAACTGTAGCCCAGTGAGGCACTGACCAAACTGTAGCCCAGTGAGGCACTGACCAAACTGTAGCCCAGTGAGGCACTGACCAAACTAGCCCAGTGAGGTACTGACCAAACTGTAGCCCAGTGAGGCACTGACCAAACTGTAGCCCAGTGAGGTACTGACCAAACTGTGGCCCAGTGAGGTCATGGGCTCAGAACATTGTGTTTACATTTTATTCCATTAACCTTTAATATTTTTCATAAAGTCCGACAAGATGTGATTTTCTTATCAGAAATGATTTATCACAGCTGTAATCATGCCAGAAAAATAAATCAGTTTCAAATGTGTAGTTACAAATTTTGGCAGTGGGTACGGGGAGTTCAAAAGCATATATTTATAGTGTGCGATTCTTTACACTAGCCATACAGCAAGCCATACTCATTATACAAAAGGCAAATGACAACCAGTTATACCAGTGTGATATGAAATAGGCCGTTTATTCACAAAAAAAGAAGGTACAAACATGTATACTCACTGGGCGAGGGTTCCCACATCCTCGATACTCCCAAGAGTTACGCTCACTTTCGATCTCTGCTACGCTTATTTTCACTCTGTGCTGAGAGCGAAAGTGAGCGTAACCCCTTGATTATCTGAGGATGGGGTTCAAAGTGCCGTGTTATGTCATTGCGCATGCGTCAATAACTGTTTTCGTGTCATTTTGCAAACTATTCAATGCAATAACTAATTGTCAAAAGTTGCACTCGACGCACACGTATTGGATTTACACATAGTATTAAAATCAGTGCCCATATATGGGCGTTCTTTAATTTTGACGTGTAAATTAAGAGGACACGTCATGGAGAGGTCAATAATCAGAGCGTGTTAAGAGTACCTTATCAGTGGAGAGGAATGAATTTTATTGTAAAGAGAAGTAGATAAATAGTAAAAACGCTAAATGAGTTGATTTTAAAGAACAGGGTCTTCAATCAGCATAAACAATACCATATCATCACACGGTATAGTTGGTAAACACACGTACCTTGCTGCCTCCATGCGTTGCTGAGATATGATGTCTCGCTGGTCCTCCTCTAGCTGTCGCGGGGAATGTGGCAGAGATATCAGGATAATCCACGATTGTCCAACAATAAATAGAATCATAACGGGTAGGAGCCCGCACCTCCTCGCACGGCCGGACCTTGCCATCGTGTCACGTCCGTACGCACGTGGGATCAGGTACACGTGGCGAGGTGACATTGTATTGGCTTACTACACGGCGTGTCTGGTGTCGTCATCAATGTACCTTATTATTTATCCATAGCACAAGTCCGCAAAGAAATTTTGTTTTCTTTATTTTACCTTAATTGAGGAATCAAATGAATGTTTGAATTTATCGATCACACTATATGAATTTATCTGGATAAAACATACATGTATAAATACATGTATGTATATAACTTCGTCCCTGGATAGATTGAACACAGGGACGAACATTTTATACAGTTATTTTTTGGACCTTGACTAAGTTGTTCATGGTAATTTTACGCGTTTTAAAGGTTTACGTCGACTTTCGGTAAAAATGATAACTTTTACCGAAAGTCGATGTAAACCCCTAAAACGTGTAAAATTACTCTGAACACCTTAGTTTAGGTCAAATATAGTTGTAAACAAATATTCTCAGATCCCTGTGGGTTTGAAAACAAAGTCGGGACGCTGTTTAGAAAAGCTATATATGATATTGGTTATAATAAGTGTATTGTTTGCAATTTTTGTAATCGACTTCATCATTGTTCGATCAAGCCGTGTCGTATATCTACCAGATGGACGTTATCGACACCCGTGATATATTTAAACCGATTTTTCTTTTCAGTCTTCTACCGATTCAAACTATCATAGTAAAGGTTATTACCGCATAAGTTCTATCTCAAATAAACAGTCCCCCTTTACTTTTCCCCATTTGATGGAATGAAGAGTTTTTCCTCGCTTAGATTTTATTTTGTGTTTATTGGTGGAAAAACCATGAAAAAATCTATTTGACATTACCGTGCTTACAGACAATCAGACTGAACTATTGTTTATAACGAAATAACAGTTTTAACGCTGACAAGGAACTCCACAACTCTATAACACTGTCTATAAAGAAAGTCTTTATCTCCCCCGAAAGTCGTGTCAAAAATCATGGTTTATTGTAGACACCGGTTGATGCAAAATTCTCGTATAGCATCTCTAGTCAACAAATTAATAATTGCCCTTTGCAGTACATGCGTAAGGATTATCGAAGTCTGGATAAACGAGATTCTCCTATATATAAGTCGGTATAATTCTACTATATATCAGTATAGCTGTAATTCTACTGTACATCTGATTAATTGTGGTGGAAATAAATTTAGTCAGTCGTCAACTGTATTGTACAAAAGACGATCCTATTGTACTGTACACACGTCGGTGTAACTGTATTGTACATAAGACGGTGTAATTGTACTGTACACACGCCGGTGTAATTTAACAGCCGGTATAACTTTACTGTACAGCAGCCGATCTAATTTTACTGTACACACGCCGGTGTAATTTTACTGTACAAAAGACGGTGTAATCGTATTATACGCACGCCAGTGTAATTGTACTGTACACAAGACGGTGTAAGTATACTGTACACGCGCCGGTGTAATTGTACTGCACATAAGACGGTGTAATTGTATTATACACAAGCCAGTGTAATTTTACAGTCGATGTAATTGTACTGTACACAAGTCGGTGTAATGCTGCTGTATATAAGATTGTGTAATTGTACTGTACATAAATCAGTGTAATTTTACTGTACATGAGTCAGTGTTATTGGACTGTACATAAGTCGGTTTAATAGTATTGTACATAAGTCGGTGAAATTGTACTGTTCATAAGTCAGTGTAATTGTACTGTACAAATTACGGTGTTATTGTACAGTACAGAAATCGGCTAAATTGTACTGTTCAGAAGTCGGTTTTATTGGACAGTACACAAGTCAGTGTAATCTGACTGTACATAAGTCGGTGTAATTGTACTGAACATAAGTCGGTGTAATTGTATTGTACAGAAGTCGTCGTAATTGTACTGTACACAAGTCTGTGTAATTGTACTGTACATAAGTCGGTGTAATTTTTACTGGTCACATGTCGGTGTAATTGTAGTCTAGTGCTCTGGTGTTAACAAGAAAATTGAACTCCAGTGCACAAGCTTGTGGCTTGAATTCACATGCTTTTGTACAGAGTTCTTACGCTTGTGCACTTGGGTAAATTACAGTGCACACTGTCCAAGTTCACTACAAAGTGTACTAAAAACCAAGTTAGGTTTGCTCCCAATTGTAAGTCGGCGTAATTCTACTGTACACATATCGGTGTAATTTTCTATACATAAGTCGGTGTAACTTTTACTGTACAGATGTTGATGTAATGTTATTGTATGTAAACCGGTGTAATTTACTGAACAGAAGTCGTTGTAATTTCACTCTACATCGGAGTAATTAAACTGTACAAAAATCAATGTATTTATTTGTCGACGTAAATACACTGTACATATAGCCAATTTAACTCTACTGTCAAAGTAAATAAACTGTTTATTCTTAAGTAATTTACTGTTAAGAAGGCAGTGTACCTATACTGTTAGTCTCGTTCAACCAGACGCTTGATCACTTGTTATTCTGTTCGGCATAGCTTGCGCAAGCAACAAGAGTCTGGTTGAACGAGACTATTATACTGTATATCAGTCGAGTGTAATTCTATAGTGCCATAAATCGACTCTACGTAAGTTCTAGTCTCTAGCCTCGTTCAACGTAATTCCGGTCTATCACGACTACCAACAATGCCATGTTCTTGATCACAAACACCACGACTACCCACAATGCCATGTTCTTTGTCACAAACACCACGACTACCCATAATGCAACGTTCATTTCCACAAACAAACAACAGCAAAACATGTTAATGTATGTCGAAGTAAATTATTAGAAGACCAATAAAAATTCAAGATGAAATAACAGTAATTGTACAAAATGAATACATGAACAATTTTTTATACGAGTTTATACATGAAAAACCAATTCTGATAGGACGTTTCGAGGTAAGAACTCTTGTTGCAATTTATACCTTGTGCCATCTGTTCTTTGAAGTGGACTTTCTGTATCACACCAGTGACATGTCCCACACAAAGTATACGTGCACTACCACTGATCTCGAAATGAAGACTTCCGACAATCGCGGCTGGGTCTTCGGTCACGAACGACCACTTTCCGGCAAAAACCCCACGTGTTTCATCACATGTGCTTATTTTCAAAAAACGATTCTCATTATCAACAAATACACACCTATCGTTATATTTGAATTTACCATTTTTTGTAAATGTAAATGAATTAATGGGTAGAATTCTGTACTTAAAGCAATCGAATGTGATGCCTATGTAAAAATCATCCAAAACAGTAAGACATCCCGTTGTCCTTACGTTTGTTATCTCCCCGTAGAAGGCGGCGTCGATAGGGGGCACTTTCTGTTCCGGCAGTACGTTCTGAAGATACCAACGGAAAGTCTTACAATTTAAAGACTTGATAAAATTCTTTTGTTTTCTAAGAGACGTCTGGTCCAGTACGGGAAAATTGGCATTTCGTGCCCTACGTATTCTGTAGAAAACATCTTTATATTCGTCCATCCATATTTCCGCTACCCTCATCAGATTCTTTTGAATTATGGTATAGCGATCACCATCAAAACTGTAACTTTGGCCCTCCTTAAACAGATGTCCGACTTTGGAACATGGAACAGTTAACACTCTCCCCGCACACATCCAGTTCTTAAAGGACAGGTCGAAGTGTTCCCCTCCCCAGATATCAAGTCCCTCGTCGAAGCCCCCGATCCTGAAGAAGTGGTCCCTTCGTACGGCGATGGCGTTCCCCACTAGGACAGGAGTTATAAATGGCGTAGTTTTGGATGCTATGGCCAGTTCCAAGTACTCTGGTATCACAAACCACGAGTATCTGTAAGTTAGTAAAATTACAATATCATCTTTGGAACATGTTCGATACAAGGTAAGAACTACGGTGAGAAAACTATACACAATGTATCAATTATGTATCAATTAAGGAAAAGGGTACTACTGCACCAGATATAATCGCAATGGAGATTTCCACTTTTTTTAACTTGTGCGTGAATGATTTTTCTGCTTTGGAGTAACTTATATTGTCAAGTTATTTATCATTCAATGCTCATGTTTTCCCTCATAGGTTTTGCGGCCAATTGTTTGGACAATCGTTATGATGCTGACTGGATGCCAACACTGGTAAAGTGAAAGGTTTTGAGTTCATACCCGGCAGTTTGTCTGTCTTTTGGGGTTATTTTTTGTCTTTCTTTTTCTCCCTCTTTTTTTCTTTTCTCCCTATTTTCTGATCATTCAAATTTCGAACAGCTATATTTATTTCTGTAAAATGCATAGCAAAATATGATTTTGTTGCAATACTTCTATTGAAAAGGACTTCAAATATTACACAATAGTGAGTCAGTGCCAATTGCGATTTTCAATTTTTAGTTCACCTGGTCCGAAGGACCATAGTGAGCTGATGCCGTGGCGCAGCGTCCGTCGTCGTCGTCCATCGTCAACTTTTTCTTAAAAACCTATCTCCTCCTAAACGCCAAAGAGGATTTCAACCAAACTTAGTCTGAAGCATAACTAGGGGAGGGCAAACATTTCTTAAATAAATGAGGTTGGTTTGACCCATGCGGCCAGGGGGGCGGGGCCCTTAAGGAGAACTTAGCTTAATTTGCTTTAAAACGCATCCCCTCCGAAACGCCAGAGAGGATTTCAACCAAATTCAGTCTGAAGCATCACTAAGTGAAGGGCAATCATTTCTTAAATAAATGAGGTTGGTTCGATCCCTGAGGCCAGGGGGCCGGGCCCTGAAGGGGAACTTAGCTAAATTTGCCAGAGAAGATTTCAACCAAATTTGCTCTGACACTTCATTGGGGGAGAGCAATCATTTCCTAAATAAATGAGACTGGTTCGACCCCTGGGGCTCAAAAGAGGAAAATTATCTAATATTTTGCTTTAGAACGCTAATATCCCCTAATTGACTGAGTTGATTGTACAAAATATGGTCAAAAACATTATTGAGAAAGAACAAACTTTTCTTAATTGAATGAGGTTGATTTGACCCCTGCGGTCCTAAGAAATGGTACAGCTAGATTATCATTTGCTATGGTGTAGTTTTCATAAATTGTTTCTAGGTTTATAAAAGCTTATAGTTGAATGAAAATTGAAGTATTGTCTAATTACACCCTGTAATATAACATATCATTTATTTCAAAATCTGTTAACATGGCAACTCAATGGAGGCCTCTGATTAGTTGAAAGTCAGATAGTGTGGTACAAGTTGGGTTAGAACATAGATGGTGTCTGGTTTTGGGGAAATTTCATATAAAGATGTACTAATGCATTCAGTTGTAATGACTTAAATATAAAACCAGGTGAGCGATACAGGTCCAATGGACCTCTTGTTTTTGGTACCCTTCACCTTAATGTGTATGATGCTCACCTCATATCCCAGCCGAAGCCACCCCGGTACCTTCGTCCGTCGTCGTAAGCGTAATACTCCATTGATTTAGCGGCTATAATATCTACTACTGGTTGTAGAATCGCGGTGGGTTCGACCTTGAGCACATGCAGGAGTGGCTCCAGCCAGCGCGTGTTACACTCCATGTGAGCGTCAAAGAACACCAACACGTCACCGGTGGCATTGCGGGCCCCATTCATCCTCGACCTGACCAGTCCGGCCCTCTGGCGGTTCCGGATCACCCTGGCTTTTGGCACCAGGGACAAATACATGTCTAACTCGTCCTTTAGGTACGTCATAGTGCTGAAGTCGTCTACGAGGATCACTCCCTTCAGGTTTTCTTCTGGGGACCTGTCTATGACGCTGTGGACGGTCCGGAGCAAAGTGGACAGCGCCTCGTTGTGGAAGATGATCACAACAGACACAGCGTATGTGGTGTCGATGGGGTATGTGATATTGTGACATTCCGAAAGTCTGGTGTCCGGAACTGAACGTCGGACAGATATGGAGTTCCCTGCAGATACGTTGTAGTTGTGGTTTACGGTATCGCTCACGTTCTGGTGACGGGCGAGGATGGATTGGAGAGTCCTTTCCAGTTTTGACGTGTATTTTTCGTCCTCCATGACACTTAGTCTGAAACATAAACGGAAATTTTAATGCAGTCTGATTCACATAATATATCATAAATTACTCATTATATTCGTATACATGATCGATATCAAAAGTACAGCGGCTCCCAATACAGTATCAAAAGTTCATTAGCTTATTCTCTATTAGGCAAAACAAAAAATTGTGTTTCAGGTATCCCGACCTACCCTGGATTTTACTGCTGCCCCCTTTTTTTACTTTGAGAATTCTCTCACATTATACATACAATGTAAAGCAACAAAAGGAAGTTTATTTTTTTGGCTAAGAGTGACTTCCCTTGTAAACGCATTCCTCTCTCAATGGTGCGACCCATAAGACACTGGTGAGCTCTCATTTTAATGATGTGCATTTATAATTCTTAGCTAAACATATTCGTTAGGAGAAAGATTGGCAATGTAAAGGTCCCGACTCCGAAGAATACCCACCACCCCCGTTTTTAGCTCACCTGGCCCGAAGTGCCAAGTGAGCTTCTGGCATGGTGCGGGTCCGTCGTTCGTCAGTCCCGAATAACCAATAGGTCCAGGGTGACGATATTTGGCCAGACGAATGTTGGGATAAAGGGTTATCAAGTTTGTTCAAATAAATAAATGAGCTTTGCCCATATTAAAGGTCACAGGGGTCAATTGTCTTACAAACCTTTAAACAACTTCTTCTGTAAAACTGAAAGGTCCAGGACGACGATATTTGGCCAGAGGGATTTGGGATGAAGGGTTATCAAGTTTATCAAATGAATGACCTTTGCCCATATGCAAGGTCACAAGGGTCAATTGTCTTAAAAACCTTTAAACGACTTCTTTTGAATAACCAAAAGCTCCAGGGTGAGGATATTTGGCCAGTAGCATGCGGGGATGAAGAGTTTGTTCAAACGAATGACCTTCGCCCATATTCAAGGTCACATGGTTCAATTGTCTTAAACCTTAAAACGACTTCTTCTGAGTTACCAAAAGCTGCGGGGTGATGATATTTAGCCGGTTGCATGCCTGGATGAAGGGCAACCAAGTTTGTTCAAGTGAATGGCCTTTGCCCATATTCAAGGTCACATGGGTCGATTGTCTTAAAAACCTTTAAACGACTTCTTCTGTATAACCAAGAGGTCCAGGGTGATGATATTTGGCCAGAAGGATGTTGACATGAAGGGCTACCAAGATTGTTCAAATGAAAGACATCTGCCCATATTCAAGGTCACATGGGTCAAATATGTTGAAATCTTTAAACTACTTCTTCTGAATAACTAAAGCATACAGGCTGATTGCTTGTTGATGTGAATGACCTTGACATTCTTTCTTGGTAACATCTGGTCCATAGTGCATGAACCTTTAAAAGTCATCTTCTTAAAAAAAGGTATAAGGTGGTGATATTTGGCAAGTTGCATTCTAGGAAGAAGGGCTATGAAGTTTGTTCATGTTTGACTTTTTAAGGTCACAGGGGTTAAATATGTTAAAAACTTTCAAACAACTTCTGCTGAATAACCAAAAGGACCAGGGTGATGATATTAGGTCAGTAGTATGGTGGGATGAAGGGCTACCATGTTTGTTCAAATGAGTAAACTTCACTCATATTCAAGGTCATAGGGATCAATTGTCTAAAAACTTCTAAATAACCAAAAGGACCAGGATGATATTCGGTCAGTAGCATGCTGGGATAAGGGGCTACCAGGTTTGATGATATTGGCCAGACACATGTTGGCAGAAAGGGCTCCAAATCGATGACCTTGACCTTTAATCAAGGTCACAGGGGTCAAATATGTTAGAATATTTAAATAACTTTGTCCGATAATAATGAGGCCCAAAATGTTGATACTTGACCAGAAGCATGCTTGGATGTAGGCCTACCAAGTTTGTTCAAATGAATGACCTTCACCCTTATTCAAAGACATTTAAAATCTTTAAACAACTTCTTTTGAATAACCAAAAGTTGCATGATGATGATATCTGGCAAGTTACTTGCTAGGATGAAGGACTACCAAGTTTGTTAAAATGAATTACCTTGACTTATATTCAAGGTTAGAGGGGTCAAATTTGTCAACATTTTTTATACCACTCCTGAGAAACCATAAGGCCCAGAATGTTGATATTTGGCCAGAAGCATGCTTGGGTGAAGGGCTATCAAGCTTTTTCATTTGAATGACCTTGACCTACTTTCAAGGTTACATTGCCTATTAGGACCTAAGCATTAATTAATTTACAACTGTAGCAAGATCATATTAAAAGTTTTCGGGACTTAGATCAGCTTTCGGTAAAATGCTACATTGCATATACATCGGTTTAGGTAAAACATAGTTAAACTGTCACAAATTATCAGGTCCCTGTGGTTTGCCCGTTTATTATTTGAAGAGTTTGTATTGCTACTTTCTTGATGTTATCATGTTCTTTCCTAAATGCCTTTTCATGAACCCATATTTGGTCAATCCAATATCTTTTCGTCTGACCTTAGCTGTACCCTGGAAATACTAATCCCCTCACCCCTTTATAGCTATTACGGAAGTGTAGAGACAAGTATCAACAACAATTGTATGACTTACTTGTACGCCACTCCACGTTGTTGCTGCGCGAGCTCAAGCCGTTCCGTCTCCAGCTGCCGGAAGGATTGGGGTAAGGACATAAGAATGATCCAGGTTTGTCCTAGAATAAACAGCAGCAGGGCGGGCAGGAGTCTCCGGAACCCACACTTCGCTCGCCCTGATTTCGCCATTATGTGTCACGTGTCATAGTGAAAATACACACGCACGTGCATGGGACACAGGCGATCGAGAACCTGACTATGTGGTCGTTGTCCCATTCACCTAGCCTGATGCTGTTTTACTAGTCATTTCTAGACATGTATTTCATGGACAGGTATACCATTTAAGGGG